CCCCGGCGTCGCGGCGCGTGCGGCTAGGCCCAGTCCCGGACGGCGCCACGACGCCCCCGGGAGCGGCGGCGGCCGCCGCGCCAGCGCGCGAGGTGCGGAGAGCGCCGCCGCCGCAGGGGCCAAGCGGCAGGTGGCGCTGGCAGGGGCACGGATGCGGGGGGACGGCCACGGATGCGGGGGGACGGCCAGGTGGAGCCGTGGCTTCGGCAGGTCGACTGCAGGGCGCTAATGCAGCCGACGGCGGAAATAGGTCGATCGATATCTGAAATCTATGTCGTCTCGGTGTTGTCTTTTCAGTTCGCAGCGGAAATGAAAGCGGTTCTGGGAAGTAAACAAATGCACGAGACTTGAACTGCAGCGGAGGTCATTTTCTTGCGCATCTTTCCGGTGAAAAGCGTAGCTAGAGCAGGAAGTGAGAAACCCGTCGGCGGGGGTTTCTTGGCCCAAGCAAATGATGCGTTGTCCACGAATAACGTCGTTCCGAGGTGGGTTGCGTCTCGTGCCGCTCACAGCCGCACGAGGCTCCAGTAAAGATGCGTGCACCGCGTGCATGCACCCTGGCTCTGCACAACAGGATAACTCGTCGCGACTTTATCCAAACGAATATGTTTCTTGGGCCATGGCCGCTCCGAGGATGTCATTTCGAGACTGATTAATGTCCGCCCAGCTTGGCATGTCCGTTACGACACGTTCGTGTGGAACACAAGGGACACATCTGGCACGGTTTTGAGGCTTGCCGCGATAGTGCAGTGGTGTACATAAGGTCACCGGACGCCGTGCACAGTAACGAGTTAGCACCCCTTAGTGGCCTGTTTTGGAATTTGTAAACAGACCACGCCATTATGGTATTGGCCTCATATGGCAGGGTGACCCACCAAGAGAGACATCAATGTAGATCATTAGATGGGCCGTTACGGGTCTACTACATTAGACAATGGTTGTGTAAACAGCATCACTGAGCCTACGGTACGAGCTGCTCATTTCGAGTAAACACAACATAATGCGTGTATGCTTAGCGCAAGTCATTCATATTAAAGACGATTTATTCTATAGCGGGCCAAGCAAAAACAAAAATGCTTTCTCTGCAAGTCAACCATAATTGCAAACACAGCACTTGCCGCGAAACACCTCCCCTTCCATATTTGCCTTTTATGATATGCCCAACACATATAATCTTACGGGCATGAACCATACATCTTTGATGGCTTTTTTACCTCACGAAATGCGCGCTCTTATAATTGGCATGGGCATCAACGGCCCCCTGATAATGCATTCAAAGAAGTGAAGAAAGAGTTGACTTTTAGGAGGAAGGGTAAATCGTCAATTATAACTGAGTGTTTAGATGATGAACTACGTGCACTGTGCTCATAGCCGTAACAGTAAAATGTAAAGCGAGGCATCGGATGCAGCCCCCCCCCCCCCCCGAGTAGAGAATACGCCAATTTGTGCCCCATTTGGAGGAAACCGTGTCACAAGAATGCAACGCATTGGTCACTGTCTCGCTTTCCCTGAGAGGGTAAATGAATCTGCGTATAAATGTAAGATGTGAGACGACACATCATACACAGTATCATGTAGGTAGGGGTATATACACGTATATAACATATATGCATATATATATATATATATATTGCATTTATTGCCAATTATATATATATATATATATATAACATTTCTTTCTATATATATACATATATATATATATATATATAGATATATATATATATATATATAGATATATATATAGATAGATAGATAGATATATATATATATATATATATATATATATATATATATATATATATATATATATATATATTACATTTCTTGCCAACAACCAGTATTGACCATTCCGGTGTTATGGGACAACGGAGAGTGTGGAGTGGAGGGAAAACACTTAATGCGCCTGAGAGTCGCCCTCTGATGAGATTTGCCCAGCAAAGGTGAGCCCGTTCAGGGTATTGCGGGCGCGCTGGTGGCGCTGCTACCAGGCGGCACTTAAAACCACTCATGGCTGATGCATGCAGCTATTCCCGGATCAACGAGGCGGTACGGGGATGGAAGATGAAACGGCGAATGAGGAAACCAGGGCGGATGCCTGCACGCGTGCGGGCGAGAGCACATGTGTAGCCCAGCGCCACCAGACGGCATCGGCCGGTACTAGACAACCGACAAGGTCGGGTCGCTGCACTGGCGCCGCCGCACGACAGCATCGGGTACCAGGCCATCGAGGAAATCAGTTGGCGCTCAGAACGGAGAGCTCCCGGACGCAACACTAGCGCCACCAGCCGGCGGCGGGCCGCACTGAGTCGTCGAGAGGAGCCAGTCGTCCAGCGGCACATCACGGCGCCCTCGGGACCAGCTCGTCCCACTCCGCCAAATATTTTGTTTTGCGGCGGCGTGTAAATTACCTGCGGCAGACACCACAGAGGGCAGAAAAGCACCAGCCGGGCACCGAGGTGAAGGAAAACCGACCACCACGCCTGAAATCGACCTCCGCCACGGAAACCGCAACCGACGCCCAGGCACCCAGCCTGAACACGATACATCCGACTTGCGCTCACACATGCGCTCCAGAATCAATTCAAGGAGAAAAGAGTCTGAAGCGCGAAGTGGGGGAGACAGCGGATCAACAAGCGTTCTAAATCCAGCAGCTACGCTGCCAGCAAAGTGGCCATTCCTCCGCGTATTACGGCCTGCGCCGGCAATTTGTGGCGACTACGCAGGGGCGCGTTTCATTCTGGATATGCGGGAAGTGCTCCTCGGGGAGCGACTGCGGGGAAATAGCGTACGCAGGATTGTACGCAGGGAACACATCATTTACTTGAATCGAAAAAGTTCTGGTTGTTATGCCTGCCTACGAGTCCCATGCATGACTCGCGAGCAGGCATAAACATGTCGTTAAATGGTAGGCCCTACGCTGAAGTTCTGACGACATGGTAGGCCCTACGCTGAAGTTCTGACGACATGGTAGGCCCTACGCTAAAGTTCTGACGACATGGTGGCCCTACGCTGAAGTTCTGACGACATAGTAGGCCCTACGCTAAAGTTCTGACGACGGTCAGCGATTTCTAATCAAAATACCTATGGGCAGCAAACACGTGATCGTTCTTTTCGTATGAGAGGGGCCGCCTGACCACATTCAATCGCCCGACCGCAGATAACAGCTGTTTGTACTTTAATATGCCCACAGAAGCACAATACGCATGTGTCCGTACATTTCGTGGCAGTTGTCTGGATGAGAGAAATCACTTTCACTAATAGGCAATGAACATGAAGATCCCTCGATCACAAGGTATTGACTAACCGTGCCATTCGATGAGCGGCAAACCCTATCAAACGCTTTGCCGATGAATGTGCATGTTCACCGTTCAAACATGTGACAGTTCCTTTTCAATCTGACCGCTACCGGTAGGCAACGGCGATGCATTTAGTATCACTGGCTCCTAGCCCTCTCTCGCTGCTGCCCTCCTTGGACCAGTTCTGTCTCATCTCATGGGCCGCTTAAGGTTATCTCACAATACAACTCTCCCCCTCTCTATCTTTCCTCCCTCTCTCGCTC